TTATACCAGGTTTCAAGCAGTCACCCAGGATATTATGCTGAAAATAAATTCTTTTAATTCTACAGTATGAGAGGACAGTAGATATTTTAAACAATGTGGAATATTTAGATGAACACATTGATTTTTCCTTAATCCTTCTCGCACGTCGAATAAGAATATCAAGTATAAGAATTTCTCCTAATATCGTTAAAATGAATCCTAAAAAATTGATCAGGAGTTTTTAATTTCTATGGAGATTAGCCTTGGAGATTAAGAAGCTTCGATCCAGATGAAAATTAGCCTCCAGGGTTAGATCATGTTACGAATCAGAAAGATGGAAAGTAAGAGAAAATCCATTAAATCTGGGGTTTTTTTTTTCAATTTCAAATTACTCCCACTGCTACTTATAAGGCTTTCAATTTGATGACATTTAGCCTAACGTTTTCAGTTGACATGTACCGATCTACATGTACTGATTGACATTTACTGATCTATATGTAATGATTGACATAATTATACTGATCTATATGTAATGATTGACATATACTGATCTATATGTACTGATTGATGTGTACCAATATACATGTACTGATTGATATATACTGATCTACATGTACTGATTGATATTTACTGATCTACATGTACTGATTGACATATACTGATCTATATGTACTGATTGATATTTACTGATCTACATGTACTGATTGACATATACTGATCTATATGTACTGATTGATATAAACTGATCTACATGTACTGATTGATATTTACTAATCTACATGTACTGATTGACATATACTGATCTATATGTACTGATTGATATATACTGATCTATATGTACTGATTGATATGTACCGATATACATGTACTGATTGATATTTACTGATCTGCATGTACTGACTGACATACACTGATCTACATGTACTGATCTATATGTACTGATCTATATGTACTGATCTGTACACACTGCTTCCATGGCAGAGCCAGCCTCCCGAGACTGGAGGTACAAACAGAGGGCAGACTGACTCAATTCGGGACAACTGTCCAGGTTTTAAATACAATAGTAGCAAATAACTCATTGAGTGTCTGAGAGAGTTCTTCCAAGAAATTTTGTAAAAATAAGATTGAATTGGTGCATTCTGATATATACATTTATAACTTAATCTATTGGAACAATTGGGGTTGCAATTAAACAATATTTCCAGGAGACAAATGCTATAAAAAAAGCCTATTATATTTCAACTAAGTCATCAAATCATATTTAAAGCCATTTCTAAACCTTTAAATGTACTTTGTTGAAACACTGTAGCCTTTTTTAAAAGTTAACCTTATTAAGTTGAGGAAGAGAATCAAAATGGCTGTGTTATTTCCATGTAAGAACCATACGTAGTTTCATAGGTGCCTTATTAATGGTAACAGAAATTAATATTAGAAAATGTCTGAAGATGAAGAACAAGTCTCGTTGGTAGATTAATCTTACACTTTATATATCTTTAATAATATTGGCGTTAGGATTAACCCACATTGATTACTTCCCCCAGTTTCCCCTACTTTTAAATATCACTGGAATTGATACGGATAGAAAAAAAAAATTTCTGATTAAAATGAAATGATCAATGTAATGGAGGGAAAATGAAATTGTGGTGTAAAAGGTTGGAATTTGAGTAGAAAAACAAGTTTTGATATATTAAGGCCTCCTTATTCTGATTATTTATTACAGAAAGATACTTTTCCATAACGTGGCTGACCGCTTGAAACCTCGTATATTCCATATTTGGTCATGTTGACTTTTTGGTACCGTTTGAAAGCTCATAAAAGCGCGGATCTTGTGATCAAAACCTCGTATTCTTAGCTTGATTGTAAATAACTCAAAAAGCACTAATTTAATAACACGTATATAAACTGTCAGATTTAAAACCTCGTAAAATATATTATTATACAAGATTCAATGTTCCTTTTTCTGCAGATGAAAACGAAAAACCTTGTATACTGTATTATTTTTCGAGTTATTGGTTGAATAGTAGGGAATACTCAAATTGTTATACAAGATTTATATTTTCAAAGAATGAAAACCAAAAGATTTTAACACAATACAAGTACAAATAGTTTTTTGTGTTTTGTCGAAAAGTAATTTGGCGTCATATATCGTTATACAAGGTTTCAAGTGGTCACCCACAATATTCAGGTCCATTTCAAACTAAATTGACCGATTGTGAACAGTGTTAAGTTAGGAATTTTCAAACTTTTGCCTGACATGAAGATAAACTAGTTAATTGATTTGTTAATGTAATTTAAAGGGACACATGCGCCATTTTCAGGGGTTCATTTGAGTCTTGAATATATGTAATTAGTCTTCAACAGTACCCTGCCCTGTCGTTAGGGTGAAGTCAGTGAGGGCTCGGCCCCAGCAAATGAAATTTAATCCCCAGCAAAACCTTCTTCAGTTCAGCAGAGATTGATTCATTTACAAGACTTTGTACAAAATAAAAAAGGTATAGATTTAGATACGTTTTTGGCAGCTCAAATTGTCAGAAATGATTTCTCTGGGTCTATAATTCTTCAAATTTTCTGAGTACAAAATCTGAGCCCCAGCACCAATTCATTCCTGGAGACGGGACTGGAAGTATTAGAAATGATTGCCCTGTAATGGCTGACCTATATTTGATGTCTGACCCTTGGTCATTTGAGCTGTCCTGCTGGTCAGGACCAGCAAATAGAGCCAAATCAACAGCCCTGCTGCAAACAGAAACAACATCAAACATCTTAAAGACAAGCATTAAGTATTTGTGATTCTGTTGATGTGTAGATGCCATTAAGACCGAGCAGAGTGTGTATTGATCTCGTCAAATCACGGCTAATATTGCCGGAAATAATTGTTTTTCTATTGACAGCGGAAACCATTTCCAACCTCATTTTAAACTAATAACAATAAAATAAACAGATTGTATGCAATAAATCAGAAAAGATCTTTGATCTCTGTTCTGTTGATGGTTGTTGCTAGTTCTAGGGCAAAGTTCTTGTACAGGAATGAAAGAAAGATAGAAACAAATATATTTTTAGAAGGATAACAACTTAATTTCACTGTTAAGGATCCTTTGTACAAGCTGGTCCTTGGCCACACCTCTTGACATTGATCTTTCCCAGATTATCTGTACCAATTTACATCTGGGTGGACTGGAATTATGAATATTGACATTTTATTGTCACATGCTACAGTGAACCCATATGAAAATTTGCATTCATTTACCCATGAACTTCAAATTTCCTTAAAGTGATCTTTGATGATTACTACGTCATTACGTCATCTCCTATGACAACGTGGGATGCGGCGTATGAATACACAAAAACTTTCAACTAAAAATAGTCAAGGCAATGGAAAAAATCTCGGTTTCCAAGTTTAAGTTATTTGTTTCTCATACAGATGAACTTTCTAATGTTTTTTTCATTCGTTTGTTAAAAAAATGACTCAATTAACATTGTACTATTTCATTTGTGTTGTTTTGTTGTGTATCATCTCAGTCTATGCCAGGATTGAACCCTGGACCATCAAATTAGCGAGCAAGCGTCTAACTCACTGAGCCACCACGGCTCCTGAAGAAACTGAGCACCAGAGAAATTCAGTCCAAGACCATTTTGTTCCCATAGTATCGAAATTAATATCTTCAGACTGTTTCTTATTTTTTTAAAAATATTTGAAGATTTATTCTATAATGTCATTACTGGCTACACTACTTCTAATTGGCACTAATTGGCTTTAATTTAATAATCTAATTTACTACACTTCTTATCAACCTGCCAAAAACATTAGGTCACCTTTTATGACCTTTCACCTATGAGATTTCAAATTATCTTGTGAATGAACCTGACCTGTGTGGAAAGTGCAAACTTCTTTTGACATGACATCTGACTTGCTTTCCATGCACAGATTGTGAATCTGGTTTTTTTTTTTTTACCAGACATGTCTGACTTGTTTCCTAAGTACCTGGTTCATGAACTTTCTTTAAAGGGACAGTTGCGCCATTTTGGTCATTTGATTTGAGTCTTTCTATTTCTGTAGATGTCTTTTCTATATATGACAGAGTTTCAAGAAAAGACTTGTTATTTTAATATTTGATTCGATTAGTCAGATACTGGACACATTTGGCTTGGTACAATATATATTACTGCGATAGGTTTCAGACTTTTACAATATTAGGCAACATAGATCAGATCAGACAGATTGGGAGCTCAGGTGTTGTCATGGTTACCAGTCATTGCAGGTCAATATCACAGTTATGAGCTCTATAAATCTGATCAGCAATCAGCAGTGACTTGACAGTGTCCCACCAAATACAACATGGTCTTATTAACCCATATTAAACTAAGCCCACTACACTTTGTTTTGGGGATGTGGAAATGAGATTGGTGCTATTTATATCTGACCAATCAAATCAATTCAATATTTCGACAATTTTCTTGAGAGAACCCTCTCAGCTATCCATTAGAAGTTGATGACAAGACACTTACACAAATTTGCCACATTCTGAGTCCGTCAGCCCACTATTTGTACCTCCAGTCTCGATTGATTGATATATGTTGTTGGCTACTAGGAGACAGAAATTAATTTTCATGTTTTAATGAAACTCGCAAACAGTCTCCCTTTAATGGCCACACGAACAGTCTTGGTCGCTGATTTTTGTCACTAACTTGAATCTTGAGTAAAGTCTGTGCTTCCACGACAATATTATCCCATTGCTGACAGGATTTATAATTCAAACAAGTTTGTTTCTGTCGCCGATTGTTTTATTGTCTGCAAGACAGGGCTCCATCATCCAATCAGATTCATTTTACTTTTAATTGTATGATCTACACGTGATTATCAACAGAGGGGGAAATGAAGAACTGGATTTTTCTTACTTTCTTCTGTACCCACAGGCAATCGGCGAACTCATTACAAGACTCTAGTCGGTGACAAAAATCACCAACCAAGACCATTCATGTCCCCAAATCATAAGATTTCGAGTCAAGCAATTTCCACTTACCAGTTATATCTTCTAACTTCTCAGTGAAGCAACAGGACCATCTACGCCTTGCACATTCAGTAGAAATCAAATTATCTCTTCCTAAAAAATAAATGACTGAAGATATTATACTCTGCTTGAAAAGAGAGAAAGAAATATAGAACTATGTTCACAAGGATAACAACTTAGGTTCACATTTAAGGATCCTTTCTACCAGCTGGTCCTTGGTCAAATCTCTTGGCATAGATCTTTCCAAGATTATCTGTACCCATTTACAGCTTGATCGACTGGAATTATGAGTGAAGATGACTTATTTAAGATCATCAGATTTTCACAATGCAGTCAAGATCGGAAATATAAGAGGTCATGCTGTGCATGGGAAATTTTGCCTTTCAATTTCTTTTCTTTTCGATTTCCAACTGTCGGGGCATCTCGAACGTGCACAGTCTGTAGCAAACCAGGTTGTAAAATCAGAAGTTATTATCTCGACCTATGCTAGGATTGAACCCTGGAACTTCAGGTTAGCGAGCAAGCGTCTTTCTGTAACAATAAGAATTCAAAGATTGTCATTCCTTGCCAGAAGAAAGTTAAAAACCTTACAATCACTCCAGGACATATTTAACTCCATTAAAGGGACAGATGCGACATTTTTTTCACTAATCATACCTTAATCTCAGAAACAGGAATTTTTTAGCTAAGCCAATCAGTAATAGTGTTCACTGTCCGAATTTTAGCCTTCATGTCCATGTGTATCCAGAATTATCTGCATTTGAAAGTTTAAAAGACAACTCATCTTTTCTTGAGACACTGCCATATATAGAAAAGACATATTTAGAAATAGGAAAATAAATTCATAATTGAGATATCAGCCCCCCAAAATGGCGCACCTGTCCCTTTAACTGCCGTTAGCAGTTAATAATAGTCCACAAATACCCGCATGTTGTTTTACATGCATGTGCTGTTATAATTTAGTCTTGTAATACATATTTGCTTTCCTTTTGTTATTGCACAATAATTTTGTGAAAAAATGCAAGAATTAATTGGATGCACAAATTGCACATTAGATTTTCCTTTGTCGTGTTTCAAATTAAAGGAGCATTCCATTTTTTTTGTGCGTCAAAAATTTGTTTTGCTCAAATAAGGCTCAAATCAAAATTTGTCCCTTAACGTATCTGAAAGTTTTAACTACAAAAATCTTGCCATTGATTCTTTTAATGCCAAATCTTTTTAAAATGATTACGTAAAGGTGCGGGCACACGAGCTGTCTTGTTTGGAGACTTTTGTTGCCGATTATAGTCTTGTCAAGAGTTTCAATGACTGGCACAGGCACACAAGGAGACAAAAATCTCCAGTCCGTTATTTTCATGTGCGGATCATGCAATTGAAAGGAAAATGAATCTGATGTGATGATGACGGTCTGTCTTACAGAAGATAAAAATATCGGAGACAATTATAAATCCTGTGGGCGACACAATGATATTGTCATGGAAGCACGGGCACACGCAAGATATTACTCCAGATTCGAAACTGCGACAAAAATCTCTGACCAAGGCTGCTCGTGTGTCTGGACCTTAAGCTTGCAGTTTTTGATAATGGAAATTTTGCACACTGCCCCTTTAAACAATTTTTTCGCTTATTCAATCTGTGGGCTGTAATAAACAAATTGCATTTTTTAATTAAATTGAAAATTCAAATTATTTTCTTATTTGAGAATATTTTTCTTAAATTCAATATGAATGATCTTTCAAACTTATTCGATACATGCAATTTATTTCCTTTATTCAAGAAAAGTCGCTGCGGGCTAGTGATATTCTCTGCGGAACTAACTGCCTCCATTTTGTGTCTTTTTAATTAATTGCACTTTGTGATTCATAAGATAATGGATGTTGCAAAGAAAACATATAGACAGTTTCATAAATGAATACCATCTTTGTTTTAAGATAGCGTGCCACACACGGTAATATACTTTAACATCCGATTTTGCCATTATTAGGACAAAATGAATTGAAATGCATGGAGTTTTACATCCTACTTTTCAGTACCATGTGGGCTAATGAAGACGGGCGACACCATGCAGGATGCAATGAGGGAAATTTTGTCAGGACAGCAGCATTAGCCTACTCTTTTTCGATTTTCAACAGTACTGTTTTATATAAAAATAACCAAATCAAATAAAATGATGTATTGATTGACACATGAAGGAATGACAGTCTCGCAGCAAAAAACATACCAGTCTTGCACTAAATGGTAATAGTCTTGTAGCTCATATTGGTTCTAAATCAACACTAGATAGTAGATAGGTCAACAACATAATGACACGCATACACAATAGCGTTTGCACACACTTATTACTAAGACAAGTAAATAGTGTATTGATAGAAAATAGTCGATGAGATGGTGATTAGTGATCGTCATTTATTAGTAACTAAGTACTTATTGATATTGCTAAACACAGGTTGTTCCCAAGTACAGACGTCTGCTACAAATCTTACTCTGCTTTTTTATGTAAAAGAATTCTTGATGATGAATATGATTGATGATTTCTTTATGATGTAAGCTCTGCAACAGATGCGCCATTTTGGAAGGTTGATTCGAGTCTTAATTATACGTAACAAGTGGTTGCCTAGCAAGATACGCCCACTTTCCTGATACATTTTCAGTATGTCAAGGGCAGTCACCTATCTGTGTCAAATCATACCAAAAATTTAATTTGTACACACAAAATTTAATAAAATTCTGACAAATAGTGTCACCTCTATCGCGTTCTCAAGCCAACAAAATATCGATGCGTTTTTTCCTATCCTAAGCCAAGGACAATAACTCAATTCCATTTATCGAAAAATTGTCAAATTCAAACATGACTAAGATCTCATCATTATCAATGATCACACCAAATTTCATTTAAATAGAATGAAAACTGTAGTCTCTATTGTGTTCACAATCAAATTTTGACACGCTTTTTCCTGAGTCAAGGGCAATAACTCAAAAACTGTTCATAGAAAAATAGCAAACTTGTCCAAGATCTTATCATTATAAATGATCACACCAAATTTCATTTGAATCAGATGAAAACTGTAGTCTCTATTGTGTGCACAGTCAAATTTTAATGAGTTTTAATGAGTCAAGGGCAATAACTCAAAAACCGTTCATCGAAAGACAGCCAGATTCCAACTTGTCCAAAATCTCAACAATAATAATGATCACACCAAATTTAATTAAAATCATTATAATGTGGGCACATAAAAAATCTTCAGAAGTATACAAAAATTACATAATTCCTTCAAAAATATCTCTAACTAGGAAATTTTCTATCTATAGATGTATTTCTATATATGGCAATGTCTCAAGAAAAGACGACTCATCTTTTTAGCTTTTAAACGCAGATAATTCTAGACATACATAGATTTGAAGGCTCAAATTTCGACGGTAAGCTGTGAACACTATTACTGATTGGCTTAGCTAAAATTCACATTTTTGAGACAAAGGGGAAAAGGCGTCTGCTAATGGCACTCAAAAGTCAATTAAGACACAACAGATTTAAGATGTCCTGAGATGAATTTTGAGCATATAAAGGGCTAAATTTTCACTTCAAAACAAGATCTTTCACAGGCCTGAGGGCCCTCCCCTACATTCGTTACTGCAGATTTCCTGCAACTATTGGACGGAAACTAACTTTGCAAGACAATTTGAGTCTGAAATGTACAAGACAAATGTATTCATTGTGTAATTGGTGTTTCTGTTTTATTCTCTAGAATATAGAATAATGAAAGATTGTTCTTTTTATCCTTTAACTTTATCAAAACAGACGCCACATAAAAATTGTAATGTACATACTATTACTCAATGGGAAGAAAGAAGGTGAATTAAGTCCGGCCATCTGTCTGTAAAGACACCAAGTTAATATACTTTTTGGCAACCATTTAAACAACATCATTCATTCTTAAAGGGACAAGTGCGCCATTTTGGGGGGTTGACTTGAGTCTTGAATATATGTAAATAATCTTCAGAAGTACTAGAAATGTACGAAAATCGTATAATTCCTTCAAAAATATCTCAAACTAGTAATTTTACTCACTATTTCTATTTATATCTTTTGTATATATCACAGAGCATCTTAAATTGATGAGTCGTCATTTTAACATTCAGATGGGATAATTCTAGACACACATAGATTTGAAGGCTCAAATTTTGACGGTGAGCTGTGAACACTATTACTAATTGGCTTAGCTAAAAAATTCCTGTTTCTGAGACTACAGTATAATTGGTCAAAAAGATTGGCGTACCTGTCCCTTTAATATCAGGATTTATAAACACATCAAGACAAGTTGAGTCTAAATGTTATCTTAAACTTTCGAATAAATTTGACTAAACAAGACATTTTGTAGTGGAGAGCTCGAGGGTTTGTATACTCAATCTTAACTGGCCCAGACCACAACTTCGACCCTTGCAGCATTTTTCATTCCTACATTTGACAAGGATCGTAAACAATTTCAACATATGCCTATCTTTTGTTTAGATTACCACGAAATCTTGTCTAAACTTACATACAATTCACACACATTACAGCCAATTTTATGAAATTGGAGCCACAAATTATCTTCTCTTTTTTTTATGAAGGTGAATTGTTTAGGGCTGAGTTAGAAATTAGCCAGGAGAAAGTTCACTTGTGGAGACAGTATAAAATAGATGGTGTAGGATTCTCAAGTGACATTGTTGTTTTAACCATTCATGTCTGACTTAGGATTTAACATTTTTTTTTATTTTCTTGTCAATTTGATATTCAATTAAAATATTCAAGTCAAATATTGTCTTAAAGAGACAGATGCTCCATTTTTTGACCAATTGTACTTTAGTCTCAGAAACAGAATTTTTTTAGCTTAGCCAATCAGTAATAGTGTTTACAGCTCACCCATGAAATTTGAGCCTTCAAATCCATGTGTGTCTAGAATTATCTGCGTTTGAAAGTTATCTTGAGACACTGCCATATATACAAAAGACATCTATAGAAATATAGAAAGGAATTATGGGATATTTGTACATTTCTAGTACTTCTGAAGACTATTTACATATATTCAAGACCCAAATCAACTCATGAAAATGGCGCCCCATTAACATATGCTAGCAAAATGTTTTGGACCCCAAATTATACCCCATTTAACAAATTTTAAAATGTGATTTCTATATGTTATTAAACCAAAATATTTGTCAGAATGCATCAAATCAATCTTATTTTTTATAAATTTTCTTGGGTGAACTCTTTCCGACACTCCTTAAAAGGCTTACGATTATGGCGCCTCCACAGAATTTCAGCATTTTGAATTCAGCCTCAATGGTTTGTCCCCCTTGAGTCAGTCTGCAACTTATTTGTACCCCCATTCTCTAGGGGCAGGCTCTGTGAAAATATCAGCTGGGCAAAGATCTAACAAACAAGCTTTATTGCACTAGATTTCAAATTGTTAAACAGTAGAAAATTATGAATTTCCATTAAAATAGAAGAGTTTTGATATGTTTATGGTGTAGCAGTCTAGACCATTCTCAGTTTTATGCCTGCTGTTTACGAGAATTTTATGGTAAAATTGGAATTTGAGAACTGTCAAGAGAAGAGTTATCTTTTCCTTGTCACATAATTAATAATTACTCATGAACCATAAATTGAACATGTTATTGGGTAATTTGGAAAGGGTATAGTATCGTAAAGGGATTTGAAGCAGATTTTCTGTCATTGGCGGCGGGTACCAATAGAGGACAAACTGACTCAATTCAGGACAACTGTCGCGACTAAATTTAAAATGCAGCAACTCTGTGGAGGTGTCATTGATGAAAACCTCTCATGGAGTGTTTGAGAGGGTTCTCCCAAGAAAATTTTCTAAAAATGTTATTCATTTGGAGCATTCTGACACATATTTGGGTTAAAAACCTATAAAAATCATACTTTTAAATTTATGGGGATACAATTGGTTTCAGTGAGGATGATATAATTGAAATGAATCTGATTGGATGATAACACTATATCTTGCAGACGTGAAAACAATCGGCGACAAACATGAAACTGGTTTGATATTATAAATCCTGACGACAAAGTGATAATCTTGTTGTGGAAGCGCAGGCACACATGAGATTTTACTCAAGATTCGACTTGGCAACAAAAATCAGCCACAAAGACTGTTCCTGTTCCTACACCATTACATGAAAGAAAGTTGAGGCCAAAATATTTTAAAATAAAGCTATAAAAAGATCTCATACAAAAAACTGAACTCACTAAGTGTCTGTAGAAAAAATTCCAGAAAATTCCAATATAGTCTGATAGTTGTTTTTAGGTTCCACTCACTCAATACTGTATTGACAAGTCTAAGAACAATCCTGATATTAATTGCAGATTTCTTTATTCTCTCAAAGAAGATTCTGTTCGAGCGACACTTAAACCCCTTTAGGTAAATATGGCATTTGTGTTTGATTGGTGCTTTTGTTTGTTCCCCTGGGCAATGTTGATCATGAACCAGATTTTTTTGGAAAAAATCATTAAAATTTGTTATTTGAGGCAGTTCAAAATTTAAAATCAAAATATTGTACTTTCATAAAATAATATTTGGTATTTAACATCTTTTGTAAAGTTGAAAATAGTGGTGGCACAATATATTGATGTATTGCAATACGTACAACAATACGCGTATTGTATCCCAAGGTCATGTAACAATACTTCAAGATACTTTTCATTCCATAAAAATTGCCGAACTTTATAAGCTGGTGAATAGAATTACTATTTTTTGTCCCTGACTTGATTATGAAATTGTTCGACAAATAGAGTATTTTTGAAGGAATTATGCGATTTTTGTACATTCCTAGTACTTCTGAAGACTATTTGCATATATTCTTGATCCTAATCAACCCCTCAAAATGGCACATCTGTCCCTTTAAAAGTTAGTAGTTATACACTTGTGTTTAGATTCTTGTGTTAATATCTTGGCTTTGCTCCTTTAATATTATCATAATGATATTGTAAGTTATAAGCTTATAAAACAAAAGAAATTCCTGAAGGTCCAGGTTTAATTCCAGACAAAGGTCGAGATAATACCTTCAGATTTTTCAACCTGGTTTCCCCCTGTCAGTGATGCAGGTAAGAAGGGCTAACATGGAAAAAGCGCTTGTTCCGAGGGGACAATAGATCGAGGCTCTGTGTGCTACAGGCTGTGCAGATCCCTCAAGAGTTGGTAATTGAAAAAAAGAGCGGGCTATATATATTGCTGCTGTCCTGGCAAAATTTCCCCCATTGCACCCTGCATGGTCGTCTTCATTAGTCCACATGGTGCAGAAAAATAGGACGTAAAACTCAATTCATTTCATTTCATTGATGTCTTACTTTAATACAATATTAATGGTATTAATAGTTTATATCCTACTTGGTTTATTGAACTGGAGATTAATAAAGACATTTCCTTTACGAAGGGATTAATTCTCCTGACAAATACCTTCAGACTTGTTTCACTAAAGCTTATTATATAGCTGTTTAAAGAGATTGTAAACAGGTTTTCTAAATTTTTTATATGTATCAGGAACACTGATGACATCAATTTCCACCA